TGAATGAGGAGCTCTGCATTCCAACCAGGTGACAGGGACACCAAAAACACGCCCAAACTCGCTCCTGAATCCTCCTTCCTTTCTTTCTGTCTGCAACTCTCCCCTTTCTTTTGTCTTTCTATATCCACCATTTAATCTTCAAACTGCCTGCCTCTTAATGTTGACCACGACTTAATGCATGGTGCAAATGCAAATGCATACATGGCCCTCAAGCCAGGTCAGGTGTCCAGAGCTCAGGAGGTTGGAATCAGATATGTACAAACAGCGGCCCTCGGCTCAGCTAGAGATCCAACAAACCATGAGGCACACTGTCTGGCATCACTGCAGTACCTGGCGTCAGATTTCTGACAGCTGTGCTTTCTCCAAGGACTTGATCTCCCTCTCTACCTGTTCACCTTGGCTGGTGCACTTAGCTGGCACTGGAGTTGGGGTCTAAATCCAAAACATCTGACACATTAAACAAAGGGATAGATAAACACATACCTGGTTTGGGGCCATAGGGACAAAGGTGACTGTACAGAAGAGTCCAGTAAGGATATATTCACTGCAGTGGAACAGCTGGTTGAATACACAGTAGACAAGTTGGTGGAAAGGACTTATAGATGTCACGTATCATGCTAAACGTGTTTCGACTTTTAAAACAAAACAAAAGAGACGTTTTAGTCCTGATACACATCCCCTTTTACGTTTTGTTTTTTTGGGATCAAGATTCATACTTTGCAGAAAATGTTATCATGATTGGAATTTCTGTTCTGCACTGTTTTGTACCTCGTAGGACTAGTTGTTGCTGTAATTCTATATGACAGTGCTATTCAATCCCTTGGCAACTAGTTGTCGTTTTTCTACACTGAACCAACTAACACTATCATGTTGGTGTCTCAGCGTGAGATTTAACTCAGGGTTACAACATTATGGGAGCAATAGAGGTGTGACAGTACACACCTGCACAGCTATCTTCAAGGCATTAAACATCATACTTCTCCTAGTCTGCCTCTATATCTGTTATATAGATAGGCGAAGGCGATGTGAAATAACAGCATAAGAGTGGTAGTCAGTTCCACTGTGCTTTGCTCCTAGCTTAAACCTGTAATTATTGACTTTGACTGTGTTTATTGATCACCACAGGAACAACAGTCCCAAAACAAACCAGACTCCAAACAGACTCAAAGTTCACAGCCATATGATTAATACAGCAACAATGTTCGTGCTAACAGACACACAACAAATTTATAAACCTGTGTTTGTGGAACATAAATCAAATATGGGTGGGATTATCTTATCATATATCTCAGAATGGTACAGACTATTATGTCTCATTCTCATGGCTTTGTTCATACATCAGGCAATCAGATTTGTTTCTGAAATCACATCTTCAAGAAAGACTGTCTGCACATTTTGCATGTGATCAGGTTGGATTAGAGCATGAAGGTATTATCAACCTGTGGTGATGGCATGGTCATCAGTTAGAGAACTCCTACATCCCAGTGCCATTAGCTGGTGCCATATCATACGATGAAGAACATGCTGCTCAGTCAAACAGCTAATATGGCTAACTGCTGTCAATTTGACACATTAATTTTAGGCTAAACACAAATCATACATTTGAGCCTTTAGGTGCTCTCCTTATTTCACTTATTTCTTTGGTTTGGTATGGGATATTTTCAACAAGCTTCTTTTATTTCACACTGTTTCCCATCTAACTGCTGTCATACACAGCACTCAAACTCTAGCCCTTTTCAGACAGCCGTTTCAAGGCGTAATATTTACATCCCTACGCGTTTTGCCTTCCATATGAATGTTGCAGAGGCATAATGGGGGGACAAATTGATTACCCCTCTGTGCCATCTACAAAGGTGTTACAGGGGCGAGACAGGATCAGTGGAGCAGTGCTGTTTGTGTATGTGAAGCTCCTGCTGTGCTATGCTCTCTTGCACTTCCACAACACCATAAGGCAACGTGAGTTCACAGACTGGGACACCAATATTACACCATTGCATAATCAATATGAATTTCTTAAGTCATAATGACGGTGGAGCTTTGTTGGGGAGCTTTGTTGGGGAGCTTTGTTGGGGAGCTGTTGTGGAAAATGGCTTCTGTGTGTTTTTAAAGAGTAAAGACCCATCTGTAAAACAAAAGAAAAAAGAAAAATTGTGGTTCACATGAGGCCAGAATTATGAAGCACTGGTGATGTTTGAGAGCTTCTGAAGGTGGTAAAGAAGTGAGGCCCTTTGCATCATGTAACATCTCACAGAACCTGTTTGTATTTCTTTTGTAACTAGAATCTGTTTGAATCTATACATTGTGTGCTAAGGCATTAGATCTTTAAATCGCAGCTGTATGAGGCCATTTATTGAAAAGACTCCCGCCATCCCCCTGAAGCATTACACATAGCCTATACCAACCAAATTTGATTTGAGAACATTGATTCTAGTTTCAGGAGGAAATGAGTTCCCGAGTTAGGATAGGAGCAGCTGGCTTTAAGCACAACAGAAACCGAAACACCCTTTTGTCATCGTCATGGTCGGTAATCACCTGGCATACCCAAAGAGCACTTTAGAGCAAATTGGTGATGAGACTATTTTTCTGTATTCATGCAGCTCAGGTATTGCAGACTGCATGCAAGAGATAACACAGAGTTGGGAGGAGGTGGTGGAAATGGGAGGAGGAAACCGTAAAAATCACAACACAGGAACTTGACCTCTTTGTGAACTTTAGAGGAGCCTGGGACCACTAAAAAAAGGGAGGAGACATCTTTACGTCCTTTTTTTATGGCCTTCATTCTTCATAATAATATAGGCTATTAGTCAAGTCAAATGGCCCCAAAATGCTTTTAGTATACACTGCAACAACTTCTTTCCTCATACCCTCTTTATCGTTCTTGATTTTTCAATTCTTATTGGTGAATTTTGAAGTTAAACAAAGCAAGCATATTTCCAAAAATGTTAAACGTTTGATTCAACTTATGAAATATCCACAACAGCAGCCCTGGGATTGTTAACTGTACAGAGATGGAATAGGGCCGAGTCTTGTTCAGTCGACACAGGATATATGATCAGAGGGAGTATGCTGCCCTGAGTGACACAAGGCTTATGAGGGTTATTAAATGTAACTTTTTTCAAAGACTCCATTTAGAAAGATGGCACTCGCATCTTCATACAACCTGATATTTGATCATCAAATTGCTTGTTCAACTGAAAAAAAAACGTAAAGTATTAATTAATGTTTTCATTGTAGCAGAACTATTATTTAACCAAATACAGAAAGAAAACCTTGTTCAAAATGAGGACAGCTCATTTTAAGAAAACCATTTCTAATCATAGATTAGTATACATGTATCATCTTTAAGTATTATACATCTATTAGAAAGACTTCCAGAAATGACAGGGACCAAATTAAAACTATGAAAGAGGAACTGCTGACACTCACAAGACTCTTCTTCTGACTGCTCCTACAGAACTTCCTTTTGAAAAGTGACATTCAAAGTTCTTTATTTGTCCCCTATGAGCTAAAAATGGTTCTCTTTGATAGTTTAGGGAAACAACTGGTTTTCAAATGCTTTTCTCATAGCAATGAAACAAGGACAAGCCTATAGTTGTTAACCGGATGAAGAACTGTCTTTCAATGTATAGTGAGGAAAATGCGATATAATTTCATAAAAATAAATTGCAGTGTGTGCGTGTGTGTGTGTGTGTGTGTGTGTGTGTGTGTGTGTGTGTGTGTGTGTGTGTGTGTGTGTGTGTGTGTGTGTGTGTGTGTGTGTGTGTGTGTTAGCCTGTGTAGAGCAAACTATTCAAACAATGCTGTTCTCCTCAGACAGACACGAGTGTTGACATCCTATCTGGGAGGATGAGCAGCCAGGCGGTGCCCAAGATCACAGGAAGACATATAGCCTACATTTTCAAAACGCCATTCAGAGGCAGCAACACACACTGTGAAAGCAGATAGAGCTGCTGGGAATCCAGTGCATGTAACATCACATAATATCACCCCTGAGACATTGTGGTCCATTGAGAGCATACACGTGATAGGCTACATGCATCCTCAGAATGTCCCATTTTAAATACAAAATTAGGGAAATAGATTTACAACAGTTGTTTAAAAAAAAGGGGAAAGACAGCTCAGGCATCGTTTAGCTAAATAATATAACATTTAAATCTGATTGTAACGTAGGCTAGGCATTTTATTTGTTTTCCTATTTCCATCAAACCTCGTACGGTGTATATTTAAACAGAAGAAGCCTATCCTTCCCTGACATAAGGCCTTAATAGGTTCAAAAGTGACAAAGTCAACATTGAATCCAACCACGAAAGCGCAAATCATAATTCTCAGAATGTAGTCCTGAAGGATCTGGTGGGGTTTTTCGAGGGGTGGGGCATATCCCGCTTTCAGATGGGAAACAAGGGAGAAAAAAAAAAAAAAAACTTTGCAAACTTACGCGGCAGCGGAGACAATGAAGACCTGATTTAACATCAGATGTGAGTGTCTCCGGGGCTCGCGGGAGAAAAGATGCCGAATTTATTTTGTTCCATCTTTTGCTCTTGTCCTGCCTCTCACCCTACCCCCACTTCCACAAACACATCCAGACTCGGCAGGGACGCGCTATCCCGACGCGGCACAGTTACCCATAAAAGTTGCTCTCCACCATTGACTTTTTTCAAATGAGTGAGCAGAGCCGTATCGACATCCTTCACTGTACTACACAGACACAAGCTCAACCACAAACACTAAATATAACAGGCGGCAAACATGACAGGACCGAGCGCGAGCGAATTTCCCACTTACACACACACAAACACACAAACACACACACACACACACTGAGCACGACTGCCATACGCTGTGTTTTCACTCCACCAAGTCCTAAGTTAAATTCAGTACGTTACGCTTTCAAGGACACTGCAGCTTACTGTCACAAGCCTTTTAATGTGGCGACAGACGCGGGCGACTTGTCCTGCAGGGCGAACAAGCCAAAAACACGGGGAAATCCCCAAAGCGTTTACCTTTTTGCTGTTTCTGTTGTTATAGCCGTTGTAAGGGTTGATTCCTGCCCTTGGCGGTACGGAGAGCAGCATTTTCCTCGGCGCTATGTCCGGAGCCGTGAGCTCAGCCCAGGCTGCCAGCTGACGTCAGCAGCTGGGGAAGTGAGAGCCTGGAGTCCCGCTGACTGACTGCGAGTGGTGCTGCTGCTGCGGCGGCAGGACAGGCAGGCAGGGGCCCCCCACTGCTGGCCCCCGGGCTACTTCAGGGGTCCACACAGAGACGAGGGGGTTAGCATTGGCTTTAATCACCGCCCCTTGTATTTTAGATTTCCGGAACAGACTGAGGAAGAATTAGGCTTACTGAAAAAAAAGAAGCCTCTGATAACTGTGACTATTAAAACAGAAGACTTGTTTTGTCAGTTTTTCGGGTGCATATGTGGAGCTGGGGGTCCATAAAACGCTCCTTTACTTGCCTGTACTTCATTAAAAATATCAATGTATTCTCAAAAGTGATGTCCATTTTGCAACAATGATTTAACTCCAGTAAAACAAAAGTATTTCCTGATTATTTCTTTTCATTTCAATATTGAAACAAAAACAAACAAAAAAAATTTTGACAGACAAAAAAACATCTTAAAGACATCACTTTCAACTTTTAAACTGAATTGAACAATTTTCATGATTTTCTAGGCCTATAGCCTACATACCTACGTGCGTGTTTGTGTGTGTGTGTGTGCTCTTTGATTCTCTGACTGTCCTTCTCTTTGCTTGTCTAACCTTCTCTCTGTGTTTGTTTGTATTGATTGCTCAGCACTCTTTAACCTCTGTAGTAGAAATTTGCCCTACAAACAAAATTGCCCAAGTAATGTTAAAACACAGCCCTAGTTAAAGATCTCTGCAGGTTCCCTTGGTGAGTTTATGTGAATTATATAAGTTCAGATTCAGTTCATGTCTAAGCAAGAAAAGTCTTTAAAATCCTTAATGAGCACCTTCAAAACACACACACTATGCAGTTTCATTACATGTCTACTAAACTGTTTAATCAGTGCCATAAAAAGGATTTATAAAGATCGTCTCACCTATTCCCTTACATTTTCCTTTATTTAAAGTTAATCCTACGAGTGAGCGATACAAAATATTTTCCACCAGGTTCCATGTTGGTAGCATTAATAAACCATGTTCAATATACAAATGTAATGGATACTGCTTTCCAGTCTAATGCAGTTACTAAACCTTTCAGTTCTGCAAAAACTGGTTTTGTGTGTTTTTTCTCTCTCATAATTTTGTTTTTTTAGCTCTGACTTCCAGTCCAAATATTTTTGCCTCATCTTGTTTTATAATCAAGAGTTAATCATGTGTTTGGGTGCTGCTCTATCTGTGAAAATGCTGATGATTCTGCTGATTTCCTGAAATGGAAGACATTAGTTTTCTCATTAACATGATTATAAAATATGCAGCAAAACACTTTATCAGACGAAGTGAAAACTCTGGAGGTATTTTGCCAGAGCGAACCTCTACAAAGGTAATGTCTTTCAAATGGTGTAAAGTAAACATGTGATCAGAAGATGTGGACTAGTCATGGTTTATAATGCAGCAAGTCCACTCCATCTGGCTCCCGCGCTTACGTTGTCCTGCAGTTTCCTCTGAAGGTCACAGACTAATAAAGCTGTTAAACAGCAGACACACATACACACAGGGCACTAAACCTAAACATTTGCCATCAGAGTGTGAATGAGCACTGCCCTGACAATACCTTTCACATCCTATCCAAGGCAGACTACTCAGAGACTCGGGCTTGTTATCCACTTCTGCTATATTTAAAAACCTTTTCACTTTCTCTTGTTGCAGGCTGCTGCTGAAACCTGATTCTTCAAATGCTGTGGCTTTCAAAGTTATCACAACTGGTTACACTACGAAGCAGCAGTTGTTCAAATTTGCTACAAAGAACTCCTGCTTGCCCTAACACTTCAAGTTTCATGTTGCTTTTTTTTTTACACATTTTATGAAAGGGCATATATGGTGAGGTATGCAAAAAATGTAAAATGTAGAGGAGAAGCATACATTTTTCATCCAGTATGCACAAAACTAAGTACATATCTTCTTCAAACATAGAGGTGATACAAAACACAGTTTATTTAAGAGCAAGCAGGCTGGATGATTCTCACACTGCACTTTGTTTTTTTTGTACAACTGGTGGGCAGAATTGACTTTCCCTCAGAATGTGTGCGTCTGCTATTCAAATGAGAGAGCTGAGCTGGACGACCTTGCCAATCCTCAAAACTAAAGTTTCACTGTGGCTCCAAAAAAAATTCAAATACATTTTATATTTTGAATAGTATACTAAAAATGTTGTAAAAAGTAAAGAGATCTCTTGATTTTCTCTTGTACAATTATCAGCTTCTTTTTTTGTTTGATAAAAACATGACTTTGAATTTATTGACTCTGCATTTTCCTCCTCCCGCGAGTGTATCTGTTCATTTTCTTCTGACTTTTTGGACAAATTTAGTGGTGGAAACAGTATTTCATTAAATTAGCGCTGCTTCATTCAGTCTCAGACTGCCTGTCTGTGGGCTGCGTTCAGGAACACACCAGTGACATTGTTGCACTCAGCAGAACCTCAGTCTGGCACGACCCGCCACTTTGACGACATGAACATTGTTTGGACGTCAACAGGCTGGTTGCTAAGTAACCCAGCCCCCTCCATCCCAAGTGTTCTGGCCTTATTACCTCTAGGGTAGCTAAGCCGTCTGCGTTTGACTGCCCATAAGTGTAAATGTGGGAGTGAAAGTCGCTGAATTGCCTAATGGTGTTTAATGAGGATAGAGGAGATGCTGCATTGCGCCTTTTTCCAGCTTGAATTCAATATGACCTAGATGTAACATTTGTGGGTTTCAAAACACAGATCAAAGGTTATTCGATAAATCTGAGCTTCATGGTCTATCTTTACCGGTAAAAATGCTTTTTTCTTTTTTTTCTTTATCTTAAATAATAATAATAAAAAACATAATCTGAAAGAAACGTTGTTCTTAGTTTTCAATTTTGCACACAACACTGCAGCAAAACAGTCTCAAATACCATGCAGCCTTAACACAAACTATTTAAGGACAGCAGCACAAGTTGAGGAAATACCACCTTTCCACCCTTTGCCTGCAACACACACAAACACACACACACACACACACACACACACACACACACACACACACACACACACACAGACAGGCTCCCTTCCTCCCAAACAACAGCCCACTTTGATGACAGGTTCAACCCCCACGCTATGGAGGCTGATTGTGTGCGTGTGTGTGTGTGTGTGTGTTTGTGTGTGTGTGTGTGTGAGTGGATGTGAATGGCGTGGAAGGGTTCAGGGAGTTCATGTGTGAGTGAGGGACTCGGTCATTGAGACTGTCAGTGTGGGGTTCAAGGTCACAGTGGCTAACAGAGGGGGAGAGACAGCAAACAGTAGGTGAACACACAGAAGGTGGGGAAAAGGAAAAGTTCACTTTTGAAAGTTGTGTAAGGAAAGGAGTCACACTTTTTCACACTGAAAGAAGAAAAACACACTCTAAATTCATCTTTAAGCACACTTTACCTTAGAAACCTAGAGGGAATTTTCGCAGACATGTGGAGCTCAAGTTAAACTGCTTTTTATCAGTGTTTATCCATAATTCTTATCATCAGACATAAACCTTTGGTCCACTGTTTAATGTCTGAAATAATGTTGTAATATTAAAAATAGAGCTTTTTAATTATACTATAAAACATGCAATACCACATATTAAAGTTGTAAACTTTTTTGGCATTACTTACATCAGTGTTGTTGTAAAGTCGAAACAGTGAAATGATATGTAAGACAGCTTCAGGCAAACAGATGGATGTGTATGAATGCTTCACGTGAGAGAGGTTTTTTTTTTTTACACGTCCACTGAGCAGACCACACACACACACTCAGACGGCAGACAATCCGTCAAGCATTGTGGTTGGAATGTGTTTGTGAGGGAGAGTGTGAGAGAGGAAGTTTTGTTGAGGAAGGCTTGAGGGGAATGGTTGAACATAAACAAAACAAACACTATGCGTGTAGAAAAAGGTCTGTTTCATTTGTGAATGTGACTTTGTGTGTATGTATGTGTATGTATGTGGGGGAAACACATCAAAATTCCCCTGTTCAGAAAATAGCAGAATGTTTTATTATGTGTTAAATGGTGTGGTAAAAAATTAATATGGTGTACGCCCAGTGATTGTTTTTCTTTATTTAAGCACATTTAGCAAAGCAAGATCTGAAGCAAGATGTGTCTTATTTCATTTGTTTCCTTTTAAGAGAAGCTTGATTGCAGATTGATCAAAGTTTGGTGCCTTTAGCAGTTAAGACATTGAACCCTCGGCCTGCAAAACCAAAAAAAAAGGACTAATAATAAATTCATTTTAATGTCTAACATCATCTGCAAACACAATCACTCACCATGAAATGATTTTACATGGTGATAGGTTCTCAACAGACATTTTTTTAAACATTTAAAACTTAATGGTCACATCTTGTTACATTGACATTAGTTCCAACAAACTTCAAGGTTCAACTTAAATAAACATTTCACTTGATTTAAAGCCATATCTATTTTTAGATACTCATGCAAGTCTAATCTAATTAGGTAGTCAAGTGGTTTACATCGTGTTTGCTTTTCTGCCTTAACGCTTTGTTTTTTTTACTGGATTATCCAAACTCTGATGATAGAAATTCCGTCACTACTACTGGATGCAGTTATTATACCTCACATGTGCAATCTAACCACCACAGAGAATGAATAACAAGTTTTATTAAAGAAATTGTGTAATAATTGAAAACAAAACTTAAAAACTGGATCATAGCCCTATCTTTTCTGGCACAACATTGCTAAACTCAAAGCTTCACCTTAATTTGTCCAACATTTGTTTTTGTTTTCTTTTGGCAAATGAGGTTTCCAACTTCTCCTGAAGCTTGCTGTTAGATTCTGGTTGCAGCTGGAAATAATCTGAGCAACAGATTCGAGTGTAAAGAGGCAGAAATAGAGAAAGTCTGGTGATGGAGCAAGGGAAGGAGAGAAGGAGGGAAGGGGGTGAGGGATGGGGGGGGGGTGAGGTGGGGGAGGGGGAGGGCGATGCAAAGCTCTTGGGGGAAGGGCTGTTTGT